ACATCTATATCTTAACTTAAGCCCAACGCACAATCTTAGTAGTGGTTTTGGTGGACACCCCAAAGTTTAAAAGATTGCTTAAACCGCATGGGTTATGACCTGTGGCGGCCGGTTCTCCGACACAGTCATTCTCAGCGAAGCCAACACAATACCGTGTAAAAAACTTGTAAGGGGACTTGAAACGGTGACTTGGTGGTGTGAGGCTGCAACCCTCCTCCACGACCAGGGGCGCCGCCTTAGCCGTCGCCGAACGCCGCAAGCACGCTGGCTACCCCGAGCGCTTCCGGCGAGGAACGCAGAGGCTCAGCCGCTGCAGCCCGCACGCCGTAGTTCGCAAGTGCACTGGGACCGCGCATGGCTCACCAGCAAGCTCCGTGGCGTGAAAATAAAGGCGGCTAAGGAATCAAACGGCGATAATCCGATTACGATTCTGGGGACAGCTCTATGCGTCGAGTTTGCGCGCACATGGATTTTTGAGAGACCGAATGTCCATGCGGCTCTTCCTTGGCCCTGTTGTGTTGTGCTAGAGTCCAGCCTGCCCGTCCTCCGCGTGAACCAAGGTCCTGCAAAGCCCTGCTTGATGCGCGGCCCTTGTTCTGCTGAAGTCGGTAACATAGCATTTTGACAGGCTTGACAGTTACGGTATGGAGGTCCCGAGCGTACATGAGCTTTTGCATTTGCCGTTAAGTTGCCGATGCGTCGTCTTGGGCTACATAGCTGTGTGAGCTTTAAGCTTTAGAGAAGACGCCATGGTGTGGGCATGAAAATTTGCCACATGACGCCAGGACGTTTGTTGGCTTTGCCGTTTCTCCTTCAACTGCAGATTGGGCTGGCGCAGGGTTCTGGTTTTACGGTTGCATACACCGATCATGCCAGCAGGCTTCGAGCAGACCTCCTTCGCGATTATGACAGCGTAGTCCCACCTCGTAGCGAACGAGAAGTGGACTACAGCAAAGCTGGGACCGATGTGGCTTTGGAGATTCGCATCTTCAAGGTTCAGGGGGTGGATGCATCATTGGGGCAGATGCGCCTCAAAGTTTGGGTCCGGATGTCCTGGACAGATTCCAGGCTTAGCTGGGATCCGGCTGCGTATGGCAACATCACCACAACACACTTTCGCACACAGCATGCCTCAAACGCGGAAAACACGGAAATATGGCTGCCAGACGTGCAGCTTTACAATGCCAATGTTGGTAACGAGTTCTCCTTGGACTCTGCTTTGGCATCGGTGACTTCGGACGGCTTTGTGTTTTGGAGTCGCCCCGGTCTTCTGGACACACTCTGCAAATTCTCCGGTTTGGTCGCCTTTCCCTTCGACGAGCTTTCCTGCGCGATGGAGTGGGGAGGTTGGACGTATTCGGGTGGCTTCCAAGGCATCCGGTTGAGTGGCAAGGGTTATTCTGCATCAACGGCGGAAGAAACTGCGGGGTCTTCGTACCAAGAGTATAGTATCGTGGAGATTGATGTGGACGCAAAGACCAATTTCTACGAAGCATACCCAAGTGACTGGGTTTTTGATTCTTGTTCAGACTTTGCTTGAGGCCACCATATTTGGGAAGTCATGTTATGTATTCCTATGTACTATGATAGATTTCTCGTGCTAGCCTAAGAAGCCTAAACCCTAAACCCTGCCCCACGCCTTAAATCCCTTTCGAAGAACCAAGATGAACCTTGGACAGTCCTGAAGTTCACCGTGAGATTGGGGCGGGCCTCCTTCTATTACTCCCTGCTGATCGTTTTCCCCACGGTGCTCATCACCTACCTCTCCTTCGGTGTGTTTTTCATGTCCCACGAGGCAGGCTCTCGAATGATACCATAGGTTTGCACAGCTTAGCCGGAAGATGTCGCAACCGAACCCTTAGCGTCGTGAGCTTGTCGTCGCACCGTGACAGTTACGAGGATTTGGAGATTGGCGTTTGATTAGGCTTTCTAGGGTGCGTTGGAGGGCATGACGAATTAGTTAGAGGCCGAAGCCTTGTCTTGCAGAACGCAGTGTTTGACACAAGACCCGGCTTCTATTTTAATGGAAGGCCAAACAAGCATCTGCGTCGAACAAGAAACCATGACAAGCAACACAGACTTGTGTTGCCTGCCTACCTACCTACCTACCTGCCTGCCTGCCTACCTACCTACCTACCTACCTACCTACCTACTTACCTACCTACCTACCTACCTACCTACCTACCTACCTATTTACTTACTTACCTACGTACTTACCTGCCTACTTACCAACCTGCTTACCAACCTGCTTACCTACCTACTTACCTGCTTACCTACCTACCTGCCTGCCTGCTTACCTACCTACTTGCTCACCTACTTACCCACCACTTACTTACCTACCTGCCTACGTGCCTACCTACCCACTTACCTACCTACCTACCTGCCTGCCTGCTGCCTGCCTGCCCACCTACTTACCTACTTACCTACCTACCTACCTACCTACCTACCTACCTACCTACCTACCTACCTACTTACCTACTACTTACCTACCTACCTACCTACCTACCTACCTACCTACCTACCTACCTACCGACCTACCTACCTACTTACCTACCTACCTACCTACCTACCTACCTACCTACCTAACCTTACCTAACCTACCTACCTACCTACCTACCTACCTACCTACC